TCACAAATCAATTATATAGAATTTAATATGAAAAATTATTGATCTGTATACTTCAGAGTTAACAGCTTAGTTGTTACACTAATACTATTGCACTAATTGTATTTTAGTGGCCAGACGAGGGGATATAAGGGCCACAATGTATGGCTGCACTGTCCGGTATATGTATAAACTTGGCAGATCTTGCCCTATTGCAACTTTCACGCAGTGGAATGTTTTGGGGGGAAAGACAATATTTTGCTGAACAGACACAAATGTGTCATATTGGCTCAGTGCTGCTTGACTCCGGTGAGAAACTTGCAATTGGTTGTGGATAGGCTCTGGTTTAAATATAGAATGTGATTTTGAACAAACTGTGGAGCCCAAAACAAATGATCAAGTCACCGGCGAATTCCACAGCTATCGCAAAAAACCTCGCGACTTCAGGATTCAGACTTCCACCCCCATCCTCGTTGAAGAATTAGAAACCTCCTTTCAGTTGCCGTATCCAAGGCGAAAATAGTAGCGCTGCTGAAATCCCAAACAGGAATCGCATACATCTCATTGTCCCTGAAGGTATAGCTTCGGGATCTATCAAGATGCATTGATACTCCGACGAAGTGCATGGGTTTTGGGTGAGATTTCTTTTTTTGGAATCCCCTTCTATTTATTCAATCAACTTTATCTTAGCACCTCCACGCTTTTCGGCCTCCATTTTCTCATTGCGATTTGTTTTTATTCTCCCCGTACTTGATCGTAGGGCTGTGTATGTAAATATATTCGGTGATCACAAATTAACCCATGGAGGACATGAAGGGAAGTGGTGAGCCGACAGGCTGAGATAAACTCCTTATCAAAAAAATCCGTTGCATGGAGCATCCTACCATCATTACCAGGTAATGATTTGTAAACCGATATAGTGTCAAACTTCTAGACACTAGTCTATGGTGTTGCTTTAAAATCGGTTTTATTGCCTGATTGTTTCAAATATGGTGGATATGTGAGTGCTGGTAGAAAACATTATCTGGCAACAGTTGCAGCTTTCATAGCTTAATTAATAGCTTGCATTCTTTGTGAGGTATACCTCCCACATAGTTTTTAAGCATTGGAAGTATGGAAGCGCGTAATATGAGTAACAATATGGGATGTAGCTTACTTCATAAGAGGCGCACTGAATATCAGTTTCCTGATTCAATAAAATGTAATCTGTATTTATAGAAAAGAGCAGCAAAACAACCTTGCATCGCCCGTAAGGCATGTATGCAGATCATGATCTCCGCTGCTGATAATGCTGAACAAGTGGGACAACAATCACTTCCTTCCTTTATTCTGACACTATGACCCCTCACCAAGAGAATCCTGAATCGACTAAGCAGGCCTCCACGGTATGCTGCATGCTGCGTCGAGCATGTATCACTCAACATTCTTTGTTCAATTCATGAGGTAGACGCCGCACTCTCTGTGCTATGTACTATTTTCTCATAGCACAGAGAAACTTGATAATCTGCGAGGCATTTGCTTCATGCCGCAATAAAGCCTACATTTAATTATCATATTTCAAACAAATGAAATATGCTGTTCAAGCACACCATTATCATGGCTTGTCTTTCATCTTATTGGTGCTGCTGTGAGGATCCGGACACTGACTCTATTTAGAAGGTTGCCACCGGCAGAGGCAATGTGGATGGCCCCAATGCTGAATCCACCCTCAATTGGAACAACGCACGGCATCTATTTTCTCTTGTGATGGTTA